TTTTTATGCCTTACTATACTATGACTTTTTTTCACTTTTTATGCCTTACTATACTATGACTTTTTTTTTTACTTTTTATGCCTTACTATACTATGACTTTTTTTTTTTTTTACTCTTTATGCCTTACTATACTATGACTTTTTTTTATGCCTTACTATACTATGACTTTTTTTTCACTTTTTATGCCTTACTATACTATGACTTTTTTTGGACTTTNCTTTGGCTTTTTTTTTTTTTTAATTTTTATGCCTTACTATACTATGACTTTTTTTTTTTACTTTTTATGCCTTACTATACTATGATGTTTTATGCCTTTTCATGACTTATTGAAAAGATAATTTCTTATGATAGAAAGATCAAAAAATGCACACCATCAGAACAAAAAGTCAACACTTTAATGTGGCAGGATTTTATTCATGCATGAAGGACAGATTTGCTACAAGACATGCCATGGTTTCATTCTGAGTAACAAACTTTTGACAGCTTCCAATATGCTTGACACGCTGATGTTGATATGGAGATCTTCACATCCATGTGGCTTCTTTGCTGTAACTTGTCGTTCTTCATAGCTCATGAGATCTTTCTTCACCTGTGGGGCTCTAACCATATAAGCAACACAAACAATCATCAGTCTAAACAGGACCTCCAGATGTGTCCTAAATACCTCGGTGTCTTATACATACTGTATATACAGTCAAACAACACTTATATTCTAAAGTCAAAGTTATATGCATTTAAAACAATTAATAACTTATACTATTCTATGTTTAACTATACTATGACATTTTTGCCTTACTATACTGTGACGGTTTTATGCCTTACTATACTATGAAGTTTTAATCACTTTTTATGCCTTATTATAGTATGACTTTTTTTTTTTTAGTTTTAATGCATAACTATAGTATGATGTTTTTATGGCTTTTTATGCCTTACAATAAATACTAAGACATTTTTAGGCCTTACAATACCGTGATATTTTTTATGACTATAAATTCATGTTAATGACATTTCATCGTTTCGGTGGATATTTAGTCTACATTGATTTTTTCCATACAGTCTTTATTTATCTCTTTATGTTTTGTTTTAATGAAGTGTACAACATTTAAATGTATTTTAATAAGTGTTTCAACAGATTTGGCTGCTTCAGATCCTCAGTCAGGGAGTTATAGTAATTTTGCTGATGTGGGAATGAAGGATTCCTGTATTAATGCTGCACGTAGAGCATTTTCAAGAGCGTCTGTCCTCCCTTCTCTACACAGCGATAAATACTACACCAACAAAACATCAATGCCATCCATGAAGAACGTGTTGGTGCTGACGATGCCCAACACCAGAAACTACACCATCAACACAGACACAGACAACAACACGGTGAGGACATAAGATGAATTACTAATCTCCTTTTCTCCTAGTCCTGCTGTGTAAAGAAATAGTTTGACATGTGGGGAGATGTAAGTACCAAGTTTTGATTTTACAGGGACTATTTCTTGGCCAGGTGCAGTGACTTCCTGGCGTCTTATTGGGAGTTGAAACAGAAAGTGGTTCTAATCAAGAACCTGTTTGTCTTTCCCTCTCTGCAGATGAATGACTACATGGCTGCGTACCATGATGCGGTGCTGCTGACAGGCCAGGTGATGAGGGAAATTGCTAAAAAACCTCAGTCGGAGATTCAGCAGATGGAGTTTGTCAACGTGAATTACTTCAGAAACACCTCCTTTAATGGTAAGGAAGGCTGTAGACTCTTAGTCTAGTTTCATTATTTTTGCTGGCCTAAACATTGTCAGTGTAAACGTATTGAATATAAAAATTAGCTTATAAAACACTCAAACACTGTAAAGTTGTAATTGTAGAATTAATGTCACAGACTCCTCAGTGAGCAGCCCTGAGGTGACGTTGATCACTGTGAAGCCTCACAGATGGAGGCTGTCGACTGCCATCACTCTCTGTGTCTCTTATTAACATGATGAAGAGACTAGGTGTTACAGCCTGCAGGCTGCAGCTGGAAGTAGCTTGTTTATCACTCTGTGTGTGTGTGTGTGTGTGTGTGTGTAACCGAGAGGCACACTCAAAATTAATTTATTTGTTGGAATTGTTTTTTTATCTTGTTTTGGAGTCAAGTTTTTGATTTATTATTTTTATTCCTTGTTTTTACTGTAAAGCACTTTGTGACTGTGTTTTGAATGGTGCTCTGTAAATAACGTTATTATTGTTATTATTATGATTTCTGCTGCAACATGTCTGTGTATAAATGAGTTTCTGTGATTCTGCCCAGGATCTGCTGGACACTACAGGCTGGACAAGTTTGGAGACAGAGATGTGAATCTCTCAATCATTTACACCACTACTGACAACAAGGTACTTTGTTCTGTGTTCATTATTTTTGCCATTTAGCAATGACTTCAATAAGAAAGCAGATCCTTCTTTAAGAAAAGCTATTTTGTCAGTCTCCTGTGTCGAATCTCTTGCTGTCATACAGTGAAATGTGTAACATCCTGCTCTCATGTGACTCTCAGTATCGTGTTTTATTCACTTTCGACACTGAGCACAACAAAACCAAAGTGGTGGAGACGGACCCGTCCTTCATCTGGGGAAAAAGACTTCCTGATTACGGGCCAGATACAGGTATCGCTAGCACACACACACACACACACACACACACACACACACACACACACACACACACACACACACACACACACACACACACAGATTGTGTCAAGAGTTATAACCGTTAACTTCCTTGTCACACAGACACAAGTGCACGAACAGATACATTTACATACTCCTCAGGTGACAGTGTAAGTGACTATCAGCTGTTTGCATGAGACTGATTTGAGATTGAAATCCAGATGTATGTTATTTGTGCTTCCTACTTCACATCCTTCCAGACATAAACCTTTATTATGGCTGCTGTAAATGTACATTGCCCTGGATGAATCAGCATCTGCTAAATACCCTACATCAACTGTAACAGTGTTTTGTTTTTGTTTGTTTGTTTGTTTGTTTGTTTTAATCGTAACACCTTCAGGTCCAGCATCTTATAACGTCATTGTCATCGTGTTGGCCGTCACCGTGGTTGTGGTGGCCACCATCGCCTTCATTTTCTACAGGTGAGTCCTGTTGGAGTCTTATCCCCGACAGCGGGACACACAGGTACAGAGCGACATAGCAAACCTACACTATGTCTAAGAATCATGGGAACTGTAGTTAACGTTGTACGGGCCCGTAATTGAATTTTAAAGGTATAAACACTTACAGAACTACAAACTAAAATCACAGCAGAAGTAAAAAATGGTGGACATGTTCCTTTTTTCTTTAATTTCCACATATCTTCATGCGGTTTGCTGGTTTTGAATCCGCGTGTGCAGACAGAACAGGAGGGACCGTTTGCTCAGGAAGCGCTGGTCGCACATCGCCTCTGCTCTCATCACAGTGCTGGAGAAAAGCGAACTCAATGTCGTCTCTCTTAAGGTAAACGAGGGGTGAAGCCGTACAGGACAGTGAAGCACATCCCAGACTTACATTTCCTACAGCTTTCTAACACTGGTCTTTAAAGCACTCTTCCTCCTCTGCCCCCGTCAGATTGAAGATGAGAGGAAAGACACGAACTTCAAGATCCGCCGCGCGCTCTACGATAAGAAGGTAGCTGGTCACAACGTCCCGCAGTCGTTCTCAGATTAATCAACGTACTTTTCGCACTGTGACGAACACGTAGATGTAATTTGGTTGGTGCTGCTGCTGCGATGTTTTCAGATTGTAATTTTGAAGGAGCTGAAGCACTCGGATGGGAACTTCAATGAAATGCAGAGGATAGAACTTAACGCAGTAAGACACACACACACACACACACATATTAATTTGATGTCTTCAGGTTTGTATTACCTGTCCTCTTGGTTATTATTTGTTCAAGTTTGCTAATTGCTTCTTCTTCTTCTTTCTTTTCTTTTTTTTTTGTGATCGACTATTACACCCTCACAAAGTTTTATGGCACAGTGAAGGTTGATCATGGCGTGTTCGGGGTGTTTGAGTACGGAGAGAGGGGGTCGCTCAGGGTACGTCATGGCGTGCACGCGTTCAGCTTCAGTCCAGTTCAGTTATCAATATCAATATATCAAATCACTGCTTTTTGACTGACAGGTCAAGACGATCAGAGGCTTAGTACAGAACGAGCAACAAAAGATCAAATGTCAGCGCTAAATACATTCAGTCCATCCAGAGACCACATCCTGTCACGCCCTCTGTCCCTGTCTTCTTCCAGTATGTGCTGAATGACAAGATTTCATACCCAGAGGAGACCTTCATGGACTGGGAGTTCAAGATCTCCGTCATGTACGATATCGCCAAGGTGAGACAGGAAACTCTTGGCTCTGCTGACGAGCAACACGTTATTATGACTGTGCAGTATTGTATGTGGGGGTGTGGCACATGATGTCACACGGAGCTTTATGAGCAGGTGTGAAGACCGTAGTTTATTATTGCATCACGCGCGACTCACAGGTTGCCCTGGAGACGACGAACAACATCTATCAGCTCTATAGGAACCAATCAAGACGGCGTTGGGGATAAAACTGTAATAAATGACAGCACTCAGATGATTTATATTTGGTAAAAAAAAAACCCATCACATCACATCGATTTTTAAATGTATATAATCAGTTATTTAACAACACCACAAACACGGGCCGAGGAGTCGCCTGCCAGACTGGACCCACCTGTCACTCAAAGCAGCCACGCCCCCTAAAAAAAAAAACTTTAACTCTTCAAAATAAAAGTTCCCATACAGTTGAAGTTATGCTGAAATTACACGGCCTTGGAATCTCTTTTTAAAAAGAAAACTTTATAATTACCACCAGACCATCATAAAATCATATATCTAAATATTTCACCTAGCATATTTGCTTACCTGCTTGTCTGTGCTTTCTACCGTTCACTGCACTGCTTACATAAAAATACCATACCATTTTATATACGACTAATGCTTTTATTGCTGCGACGACCTGTTTCCTCTCACTGTACCGTTGACCCTTTGTTAACCCACTTGTGACTAATAAAACTCACCTGAGTGACACATTCACCTGTAGAAATTATTGCTGCTGCAGTTCCTCCTGGTTGCCACTAGAGGTCGGCAGACATCACAGACGACCTATTGTCTCCTTGGTTTACTGTAAATCTCCTCGTTACCTCCTTCATTGGAGCGTGTGTCTGCCTCAGTCTCATGTGAAGTTACTCTTCAGTGTGAATCCTCTGTGCAGGGCATGTCCTACCTCCATGCCAGTGACATCCAGGTGCACGGTCGCCTCAAGTCCACCAACTGTGTGGTGGACAATCGCATGGTGGTGAAGATAACAGACTTCGGCTGCAACAGCTTTCTCAGCCCCGGCAAAGGTAAAACTGGAGACGCTGTGTGTCCTTCACTGAGCTTTGTCTTCCTTCACTTTCTTACACTCTCCTCTCTCTCTCTCTCTTTCTCCTCCTCCTCCTCCTCTCAGACTTGTGGACAGCTCCAGAGCATCTGAGGAAACACGGCACTTCTCAGAAAGGAGACGTCTACAGTTTCGCCATCATCTCTCAGGAGATTGTTCTCAGAAAGAGCACCTTCTACACTGAGTGCTGCTCCGACCGAGCAGGTGACACAGCACAGCACAGCACAGCACAACACAACACAACACAACACAACACAACACATACACTCACATGCTGAGCTCTTGAAAATCAAAGGAATGAACAGAAGTATTATTATTCCTTAGGGACTGTATGCAAATTATTAGAAAAGGATGGAGAAAAGAGGGAGGGCTGTGTATTTTTTCCTTTTGCTTTCAGCTTTCCCTTAAAATGAACACATTTAAACATTTAAACATGTTAAAAAAAACCTCTTATATATGTCTTCAAACATAAAATCCATGTTAACAGTTAAACAGTCCTTTTATCTTTAAACAAACAAATATAAAAACGGAGCTTGGAGAGGCACAAACATGCTATTGCAGTTATTACTGAAGCAAAGGGAGTGTTTAAAGAAAATATTAATAAGGCTGGTGAGGGCCTTGCTTTTTTAAAATAAAAATATATAGGTTTCAAAATATATAAGAAAAATGATCATTTTTGTACAGTCCCTAATCAGTGAATTGCCATTCGATTATTCCTTCTCAGAAAGAATAAGGTGTCAGGTGCCACATACACTATGGTGCCAAATACAAACATGTTTCACCTGCAGGAGTTGATGAAATACTTTGACAGACTTTGACAATTAACTTCGCTGCACTTCAAAGATTAGAGGCTTCTGCTGTGTTTAAAGTCGCAGCCCCAGTGTTTTGTGGGAAATTAATATCCGTCTGTTTCCGAACAGAGAAGCTGTCCAGGGTCATCATGTCCTACTTCAGACCTGATCTTAACTTTGAGACGGCTTCAGAGAAAGAAGCAGAGGTGAACTACTGACATTTCTGATCTGCAGTCGAGTTTTTTGTTTTGTCTGATGCGTCTTTTAAAGCTTTGTGTCTCCTAGGTTTATATGTTGATAAAAAGCTGCTGGGATGAGGATCCAGAAAGAAGACCGGACTTTAAGAAGGTAGAAAACTGTCTGGGGAAAATCATCAGGTAATTTCTCACTTTGATGAGCGCATGTCGCCACGTGTAGCAGACAGAAGCCCCGAGACACTGATTACAAATTTATAGTTACTTTTTTTCCCCCTTCATTTCCTTTCCTCTCCTTATTTTCTCTGTTGCCTGTTCGTTCCCTCGTCCTCCAGTAAAATCCATAACCAGGAAAATGAGAGCTACATGGACAACATGATCAGACGGCTGCAGATGTACTCCAGGAACCTGGAGCACCTGGTGGAGGAGAGAACGGCTCTCTACAAAGCTGAGCGGGACAGGGCCGACTGCCTCAACTTCATGCTGCTTCCTGGGTCCGTTTACACTTAAAGGAGCACGCCACAGTTTGAATAAACAATTAAAATTAAAAAAAAGTAAATGATAAACACTGTTATATTCACTTTTATATCATTAATAGTTAGAGATTGTTCATGAAATCGATGGGTCATGTGAGTAACTTGAGTTCATCTGACAGAAAGGTTGAAAAGCGGTTCAACTGGAATGAAAGCGCAGGTAGAACTTCCTGTTTCATCTGTCTTTGTACACGTGTCTCTGTACCTGTCCAGCCCGGTGGTGAAAAGCCTGAAGGAGACCGGCGTGGTGGAGCCGGAGCTGTACGAGGAGGTGACGATATATTTCAGCGACATCGTTGGTTTCACCACTCTGTGCCAGTACAGCACACCAATGGAAGTTGTGGACATGCTCAACGACATCTACAAGGGCTTCGACAGCATCGTCGACCACCACGATGTATACAAGGTATCGACGAGGGTGAAATTCAATAGGCAATTCAATAGACGTCGCAGGCCGCAGACGTCAGCTTCTCGTCCATCTATCCTCAGGTGGAGACGATAGGTGATGCCTACATGGTGGCCTCCGGGCTGCCAAGGAGAAACGGAAACAGGCACGCGGTGGACATCTGCTGCATGGCGCTGGACATCTTGTCGTTCATGGGTACCTTCCAGCTCAGACACCTGCCTGGCATCCCTGTGTGGATACGCATCGGCATACACTCAGGTAGACCGCACAAAATCCTTCCCACTCCTTTTTAATCCTGTAAACAGTTGTGATCTGTGATGGAAGACTGACTTAATTCTTGTGTGTGTGTGTGTGTGTGTGTGTGTGTAGGTCCCTGTGCAGCAGGTGTTGTGGGGATAAAGATGCCCAGATATTGTTTATTTGGAGACACGGTCAACACGGCGTCTCGTATGGAGTCAACAGGACACCGTGAGTGGAGACATGAATACACGCAAAGAGACATTTAAGGAGCTAACTGACTTACGCTGATATTCATGCTATGATCGAGTTATGTTACGTTAGCATTGCCCTGTACATTGCTCTAGCGCAATTAGAGAAGCAATCAATCAACCTAATTAAATAAGTTTACCTCAGCTAAGCCGCTTGTTATTTTATCTTGTAATTTCCTCCAGCCCTGCGGATCCACGTCAGTCAGCCCACTATAAATATCCTGCAGAGGACGGACTGCAGGTTTGAGTATGAGATCAGAGGAGAAACATATCTGAAGGTAAAGATTCATTCATTCATTCATTCATAAGCATTTTGAAATAAGTCTACAAACACTGCAGCACTTTGTGAAGGAAGACAACAGTGTGGGTGACTTCACTGCCACACACTGATGCCAATAATCCTGAGTTTATTTTTTGAAGGGTAAAGGCACAGAGACAACATACTGGTTAACAGGTGAAACTGGAGAAGACTACGGCCTCCCAACTCCACCCACAACGTAAGCAAACGCCACTCTGAGTGTAAAAGCTAAAACTAAATTCAGGCAGGTGTTATATGTTCAGACTTGATCTGAATTGGATATTAATACATGTATTTGATATTCTACTGTGTGTTTAGCTCGATTTAAACCTGGTTCTCTGTTGATGTGCTGCTTCCTGATCTTTCCAGAGAGAACTTCCACCGGCTGCAGCAGGACCTCGCCCACATGATCCTGATGTGTCTGGAGCGCCGCTCTCGAGGGTCCGTGCGGAGGAAGAAGAGGACGGAGGACGACAATGATCAAGAGTCGGGGGTGGAGTCTGAGAGCGAACAACCGGAGTACCTGCATCTGGCCACTGTTGATAACACGCTCAGCACCTTCCTGTAGGACAAACCTGAGAGGAGGAAACCAGCAGGTAGAGGCAGAGAGGGAAAGGACACAACTCATTTTTTACCAGGTGTTAAAAGATAAAAACAAATATCCATTGAAAGTAATGTACAAAACAAGTGCCTTGTGTAAGACCAGAAAGTTTCCTCCATTTTTACTTGCTTTTTTCGCTCCTTGTTGAACCCCAAGTGCAGCGGCAAGCCATAGGTGTGAAGATAACAGGGATGCATTTCTTATACGTTCGATCATCCAGACTACATTCAAGTCGTGGACCCGTCTTCTGCATATTCTTGTCACTTACAGACGTTCATTGACTGTTCAAATGTGTAATTTACTTACTGCTTGCTCTAATAGTAGGTCACAGTGAGCCAAAGAGATCTTGGGACAACGTGACTTTCACATTGTTGGAAGGGAACGGTGAACAGAAGAGGACATAAATTATTTATAGATTATGAGTAACACAAAAATAAAACGCAACAAACAATACATGTAGCTGACACCAAACTGTAGCAGAAGTGACTGTACCTACCATTACCCAACTTACTTAGCAACCTAATCAATAATTATGAACCTGGGTTCGGATCTACAGATCTACTGTAGCCTGTTTAAAGCTCCATATTTTCTTCTTCTTCTGTGTTTTATTTGAAGTGTTGATCCATAAGAAGATATATTTGTGGTTTTAAGAACCAATAGCTTGATGTACTTTTACATCTCCTCTCTCAGGCTTCTCTCTGGAGCTCTGATTGCTTCGTTGTGACATCACAAAGTTACTGAAGTCCTGACGGCCCGTTTTAAGGCTCAGTGCCTGAATACAGGCTGTGTGTGTTTCTCTGTGGACTGAGGCTTTGATACTTTCACAGTATTAATATAAAACCTAGACCTGCTTTATAATCACAAAAGACATGGGAATCTCACTCTATACAACATGGGACATTTAACATGTTCCTTTATTTCTGCACTGGGAACTTTACATGCATGTATATTCTAATGACATCAGAAGATGACTCCCTTTGCCCATGTGTTCACCCCCGCCTGAGTTTAACATATGTTAACCATGGAAATTAAACTAGCAAGGCTCCAGGAGCAAACCACTGTCTGTCTTATTCTATAGAGGCACTAGATACCAGTGTGGACTAACGTGTGAGCTGATCATGATGGTAATGTCCGTCCCCAAAAAAACAAGATTTTCGAAACTGTATTTTAAAGCAAAGGACAAAGTTTTATTTTTGTTGAGAATGGTGACATTCATTTACATTAAGTAAAAAAAAAAAAAAAAAATGTTGTATGTTGTTCAGGTCCTGATGAATTAAACATTGTTTCTTGAAGCCTGTACAGGTTTATCTGAGGTCTTACAATTCATGTGTCACATTGTGTTGTTGGTATACAGACATGACAGCATATGGGCAGCAGAAACAGAAACTCCAGCATCTGATAAAAGATATTTTTCTGCTGACAGATGTTTTTGTTTTGTTTTTTTTTTTGCACAGAATAATGAAAGATGACTACTATGTAGACTTTTACACATTAAATACCATGTGAAAACACACTCTATTGTACAGCAGAAACCATTCATCAAAGTGTATAAATGAAGTAATTCAGCGTGATTCCAGCAAACCAACAAAAGGTGACTGAAAATGCAAATTGAGGTTTATAAAACTGACCTAAGGGTAACACATTTTCATTTGATAGGAAAACTTTAAACTCTATTCTTGGGGCTAACGTCAGCGCAACAGCATTTATGTGAACTAAGATTAAAAACTAGAATATTCAGTAAACCTGATGAATGTATTTCTATACACTGTTGAAGATCATCAGGTCAGTGAAACATAAAAAGCTTAAACTTCAAGTAGAAAAAAAAAGCAAAGGTCACCCAAAGATGACATCGACCCCTCCCCCACAATAAAAAAAGTCAAAGCCCAAAGTCTTTTTAGTGTAACATTAAAAAACAAAACAAAAACAAAAAAACCCTCAAGAATAAATTAGACAAAAACGTACAAAAAAATCAAAACAATAAAAGGCATGACATTTTATACAAAACAGCTAAAACCTTCTAACAGAGCTGCTTCAAACAGCATCACGTCATGTTCAGTGTGTGTACTTTCTTTATCTCTCCTTGAACAACTGAAAGATAAAAATCCTCAGAACAAATATGTACGTGAAGAAATTTACACAGATACATAACCTGGACTGGACTCTAAGTGAGGCTGTAAACTACACATTTTTTTGATTAAAATATTAAAATTGATTTAAAAAATAAAATAAAATAAAATGCATTTAATAACACCATTGATCATTGTGTCATGTCGGTTTTTAGACGCCAGTTTTGCTGCTTGAACTCAAGGCACCGAATGATCCAAGTTAAAATAGTCACACAAAAGAAAAGAAAAGAAAAATAAAGCTGAAGTAACAAAACAATGAACATAATTGTGTCTCTGTCAGTCTTCTCCCTCCTGCTAATATCACTGTTATGATTATCATAAGCATGATGAGTAACTGTATCTTCACTATTCTAACATTTATTGTATTCTCCTAATCCAGCTAATAAGGTATTGCAAGGATCCTAAAAGGTCCATGATATCTGTTTCTATTTAATGCTATAAATGGACGAGACGCTGTGTTTTATCCATCCACACACACACACACACACACACACACAAACACGCAATATTGTATTTGCAGCCTATTTTTTTTTTCTGATTTAATTATCAAAATGTTACCAAAAAAAGTTTCCAACCATGATCTTAAGTCTCGATTGTCTCACATTGTGACTCTTAACTGCTTATTGCCTGTGTAAAACAGTGTTTGTGTGTTTTCAGCACGTCGCCGGTCAGTCAATGTTAGGCGGTCAGACATAAGCTGGTGACATCCAACTCTCAATATGGCCGCAGGAGTCTCAGAGGTAGAAATAATCTCCGTGGTGGCGCTAAACCTCGGTGGGCGGAGCCAAATAACTGCGCTATCTGTCCATGTTTGACTGACAGTAGCTTAAACTTTTCTGTGCTGTGTTAAAGAAATTAACTTATAAATGAAGATGGCACTGCTTTGTTATTTCAGTCGTTCACTATCATGCGTTACAGGATGTCTGAAAGCCGTTTATCTACACAGCTGTTACAGCTAATTTGGCTAACATGGCTAACTTGAACTGGGACTGTAAACTGGTTGTTTGGCTCCGACCACTGTAGTTTTAACTCGGTTGTTGTAGTTATTTATGCCTCCGAGAAACGCTTCAAAAGACAAAGCCAAAACGCCGCCCCATTTCCATGTTGCCATCTGTTCTACAGTGTGTTTTCTATATTATAAGCTATGACATGACACTGGGCTATTGTAGACGTATTATAGGCTAGATGCGTATTTACACATTTTATGACCTGCTGATAAATCTGAACACCCTGTTATTTTTAAGAAATTGTATATAACCCTTTATTTTCCTGCATTCAACGACCACACCTCCACATTGCTGCCAAAACCTTGTGGGAGGAATATTTGCCGAATGACACCTAGAAATTAATTCTCTCACACTTAATTTTCATCACACGCCGTTACAAACTGCTGTCAGGGGTTGCGCCACAGACTTGTGCAGGGGGGAATCAAATTAGATTTGTGGTGCAGTTCCTATAATCTGCCAGCAGAGGTTGTTAAAAGTCACGTGTTGTCTTAGTAACAGCTTCCTTAAAAACCTTTTCAATCATACACCTGCACTGCGGCAGTTCTGTCCACTATGAGAGTTGATGGTATGAGTTAAGTTCTTTACCTCAACAAACAAATACAGACAGACAGAGGACGCAGCGACTATCACTACTACAAAATGGTGATTCACCTCTCCTCCTCAGTTTGATCTCTCTCCCCCTCCCTCTCCCTCTCCCTCCCTCTCTCTCTCGCTCTCTCCCTTCTCCGAGTCTTTCCTGACTCACGCCAACATCTCTCTGTCAGCCGGAGCCAAAGCTGGCTCTGGATCCCAGCCAGGGCGACAGACTGAGACGACGCCACTGCTGATGATGCTGCTGCTGAGCATGCACCGGCACGAGGTGATGCAGGTGTGTATCAGTGTTGGTGCAGAGAGAGAGTGAGTGTGTGTGTGTGTGTGTGTGTGTGTGTGTTCCTGCTCTGAGCTCTGTTGGAGTGACTCTCTCTTGCAGTCTTTGACAGTCTTGCTGGAGCCAGATGAAGCCTTTGTAAGGTGACCAGTGAATAATGGCACACATATCCTTCACCTCAACAGATGTCTTTATCTTTCTCCAGCTGCACTATTTCCATCTGTCAATTCAAAGCCAACCAAACCAATGTCTGGCTAAGCTAACGTCGAATACAGTGAGATCAAACCAGCGTTAACCCACGATCACACCGAGAGCAACAAATAACTAAGTTACCAACATTATTTCCAACAAGCTTAACAACAAAGTAAAGTTGGTGTTTGCTAAAATGTTCCCAGTCAGCAGCTGGTGGGATCAGTGTGGTTGTTTGTTTCTCAGCCAATTGATCATCAATTTTTTTTTTTTTACAGGACTACAGGAATAAAAGTCTTCATTAACAATTCAGTTTGGAGGAACAACTGCATCCATCATCGGGAAGGAAATTTAAGTTTAATTCTGATGAACCGACGGATGCTTCAATGCTGCCAGCTGTGTTAACATTAGGAAGTGTGATAATCCAAAACGGCGCGACACAGATGATCCTTCTGCACCATCCGCTGCCTGTCAGATCATAGTCACGCAGCAACATGTCAATTTTCTTCAGGCAGGTTTTTAAATCCTCCGTCATATTTTGGTTAAGCACCTTGGTTCAGCCAGCTTTAATCTGGATCTTTGGTAATAATTTACTAAGCTCCACTACCGCCCTTGGCAATATCACATTTGCACACATGATTATTTCTACTAATAAAAATCACTGAAAAATATTTCTGATGGATTTTGCTGCAACTGCGACTTTTTTGATTTTCTTTCTAACTGACGAACTGAGAACGATGCTACAAGTCTGTTTTGATGACTGTCCATTGACACAACACACAAACACACCATGTTCAGAATGTCGTAATAAGCCTAGAAAAAAATAACTTAAGTTCTTGTAGTTTTTACATCCGGGACCCATGGATCTGGAAAAGCTGTGAAATGAAAGAAAAGAGACTTTAGGAAAATGCAGATTCATAGAAATCTAAAAATAAATAAATAAATAGATAAATAAAACACTGTTATACAGTCTAAGTTTGGCTGTGATGATGGTGATAAT